ATTATAACTGTATGTGAGTAATGAGTGCGCATGCAATGGGCACGTATCTGAACTATAATTATTAACGTTACGATTTGTAATTGTGTAGATGTGTATGCAGTCGGTGCATTTTAAATAAAAATAAATATAGGAGAATCCCGTGGTACAGATGTGGAGTAAGTAGTATTAAGGCTTTATTTCATATCTACTGAAGATCCACGAAATCGAAAGGCAAGCGTACAAGTAGATAGTAACTCGCATACAAGCAATGAACAGATTAACAGTATTGGTGCAAGTAATAGTAGCAGACGTATAAAGTGTAATTAAACTCTCTGAACACTCAGATGGCGCAATAACTAAGTTATCGGGAAAAGGCATGACGAAGCTAAGAATATAATCTGTATCTGTTTAAAATAAAAAGAAATTCATCATCCACATTTCAGTAGACGTATCACAGTTCATAATATGCCTTTGTGTGATTGGGCTCGGAAAACAACAAAATCTTACAAAGGAACTTTTATATTTTACGTTCATGTCAAATTTCAATATAATGTTCAAGTTTAAAAATAAATAAATATGTATCTTAATTTATTTTTCTGCAGCGACAATCGAATTAATAAATTAAAGCCCCTAAAAATTTAAATACTTACATATTTATTTTACTTAAAGAAATATTTTTATATCAGAAGCATTTCTAGTGCATTTTAGAATAGGTAAGTCTTGGCCTTCGCAGCTAAGTTAGTAACTAAGTATATTTCACCTTTCATTCTTAAAAGGTATTAATGTATTAAAATGATATAAAGCTATGACATATCTATAAGTTGTGTTCATTATTGTTTTATGAACAGATAAAATATCTAATGCGACGCTCATGTTTCTGTTCAATTCCACGACCCCGCCCTTTGCGTGTTCGGATTCTAAAAAAGTATCGATTATTGCGGTACATGCTATAACAGCGTAACAAATGGGGCAAGGAATAAGTAATAAAATTAAAAAGACATTTATGATCAAAGGCCAATAATTTAAACGCTCTACATAATATGCACGTGATTTTTAAGTTACGTCACATATGTAGAAATAGAAATTATGAACCCGATTCATTCTCTTTTACATCTTTATTCAATTTAATATCACACTTTCAGAGAAGAACGATTTAAAACAATTTCTTGGATTTAGAAGAACTTCACATTATTAATAAAATAAAATAATATAACAATACTAATAAAGAAACATCACGGGACTGAAATATCTAATCTTATTCGTCATTGGACTTAAAAACAAATCAAACGCGATAAAATGAGTAAGTTTTATTTACAATCATTGTAATACTTCTCGGATGTAGGCTTATAATTGACCGTTTATAGTTTATAGCGAGTGGTATTATATCGCCCACACTTCACAGCAAAACAACCTCCCATCCGCTTCTATAAAGAATATCAACGCGAGGTTGTTCGCCCCTCGTGGAGACGACTATCTTCGAGTCGCTTGATGCACTTTGACTGGTAAATATTTACAAATCCCGTTTATTTTTAGAGCCGTATCGAATCCCTCCATTCGACAACACTTTAATGAGTCGCTATTGACATCAGAATCTGATGCACACAAAACTAGGCTCGTCAACAAAGGCCCGCATGTTTAGCGCAAATGTAAACGAGGAGCTGGAGCCATTGTTCGTGGATCGATTTAAGCATAGTTCAAGTATTTCTGATAATAAAGTATTTCTTTATAATCATAAAAGGGTAACTGGTAATTAGTAAGTACCTAATATTGTTTGCATCAATGGTACACAGGTTAACATAAAACGACCTTACGCCTTAAGAGACTATCGAATATAAAAGTCACGCTTTGAAATTTGATTACAATTTATTTGACCTCAACCACCAAGATCCTTTGTCTCCAGGCTATAAAATAAAATGAAAATCAGGCTATAAATTGACAACACTTATATGTCGATAGATTACTTTGCATTTAAAAAACCGGTTGGTTTGAAAAACAAAATCCCCTCGTTCGATATCCGTAATTACGCGCACATGTTGGCCCTAGCGAGCGTCTTATCTACCACATGTTTCTACCCACCCCAACAATTTAGATTTTGTGTTTTTACCAGTCCCTGAAGGTTAAATTAATTTTAAAAGTCATGTTTAAAACGTAGTGTTTGGGAAGGTTAATATCCCGAGACGTAGGATTAGTGAGAATAGAAATGCTATTAATTAATTAAAATTTTTAGAACAAAGTACGTACAGTTTTTCGTCGCTGTGGGAATCGAACCCACGTCTTCGGGATTCGCGCCTTTTAAAAAACTTTTCGTTAAATGTTTAATCTTAAGTGCAAAGATTAGCACAATTTAAATTACTATAAATTTAGTCAAAATCTACTTTATGGCATTAAATGTAAAACGGTTTAAATGAAAAAAACATTATTACGAAATCAATGACACTCGCATCCTGAGAAAATCATCACATGGCGAAGCTTTAAAGTAAAAAATGGAATTAAGAGGAATCACATTTCAAGGCAAAAGATTACTTACTACACAAGCAGATTTAGGGTCCAGCCTACACTATTCAATCACGGATTGAGTGATAAATCTTGGAAACATTCATTGCATTTCTCAGACAAAGTAACAGCAGATACATGTCCCACAGCTGGGCAAAGGCCTCCTCTATACAACGGGTATAGTCCACCACGCGCCCCACTGCGCATTGGCGGACTTCACATATCTTAGAAATATTTTTTTTGTTATTATTTCGAAAATACGCAGGTTTCCTCACGATGTTTTCCTTCACCGCGGCGCACGTGATAAGTCAGCACTTAAAATTAAAAACTTCAAGTTGCTCAAGCATATTGAGTTGAAGGCGAGCGCCCGGACACTGAGCTATCACGGCTCTTTCTCAGACAAGACAGACCAAAATATCCATTGACACGTGGTAAGCGAGCAATTAATTTTAATTGAAAGTTTATGATAGGTTAGATTGTAACGATAGGTTTAAACTCGGGTTTCTCGACTATACCTCGACTAAATCTCGAGCTATTCCAACAGCCTTAACACGTACATAACCCAAACAACCATTAAAGAATAAGGCTGGCTTTCCAATCTGCTATATAATGTGTATCTATTAAATCAGGAAATGGTGAAATAATTAATACACCCAACTATCGAATCTATTCAATTATAATCTATAGCGAAGAGCCTGCTTCATAGTTTTATTTTGAATAATAATAAATATATCGGGGCATGTTTTTACATAACGTTATCTAGTTCCAAATTGAGTGAAACTTGTACAATGGGTACTAGGTGACTGATAAACGTACTTACATGTAATTTTCTTTAGTAAATAAATACATACTATAGACATATAAGCACCAGAAAAAACTATGCTACGCAATATTTTCCAATAGTTTGGATCGAACCACACCCTCGGGCGGACGAGACAGTTTCACCATCCACTGCGCCAATTGGTTAACAGTTGGCGCGTGAGACACGATCTTTGATATTTCGAATAACATAGCGCGATGATATTACACACCGCAGTGGAACGCAGACCTAACAATCCCCCCTAGCAGTCCTAGACGGGACTTCGGCGAGCGTTATCGGCGAAATGCAGCGGCCCGGCCAATAGACGTCGGCCAGACAAAACAAACTGCACTCGCTGTGCGGAGCGGTGCGTTTTTTAACAAGAACCAGTCGCGTGACCCCCGCGCCCCTTCATTCCACCTAACAACGCGGTTCTCGGAGGTGCCGTGACATTGGTCAGGGGACCTCCAGAGCCGAGAAAGGTCACCGAGGGCGCCTTTCAGTATGTCTTGTTTTTATCGTGATAGCTCATAGGTCGGACGCTCATTTTTAATCCAACATTGGAGGAACCCGAGTTCATTTAATTGCTGACTTACCACGTGCTCAACGGTGGAGGAAAACATCGTGAGGAAACCTGCATACTTTCGAAATAGTAAAAAAATATTTCGAAGATATGCGAAGCCCGCCAGTCCGCAGTGGGGCCGCGTGGTGGACCATGCCCGGAAGGATGCCTTTGCCCAGCAGTAGGACACATATAGGCATATATAGACATATGTAAAATAAAGTAGCAACTTTACACCCAAAGAGTACGGTGGAATAAGTGTTTATGACCGGACTTAGAAACAAATAAAGAATGTAGCCGAGTGCAAATTGACGTCTCTGGGACCGGTGAAATGTTACTTTTATGTAGTAAAGTTATTAAATGTGTTTACGAGCAAAGAAACAGCGACTTTCACTGCTTAACTATCAATAAATTTTCTCTTTCAAACAAGACATATAATTGATTAGTTCATAATAATAATGATGGTTATACTCGTATGGATTACAAAAAGTGAAATTCAAATAAAAATAAACTATAATTATTTGTTGACGTAATGCAATTTAAGTTACTAAATTAAGAAATTTAAAATGTATTGTCATACTGTACACATATTCGTCTTAACTGAATAACAAATATTTACTTAGATAATTGCGGTTGGACAGTACGACAACAAATTTAAAATAAACATATTTGTCGACCTCACTATTTGAAGTATGGAGACGATAGACTTTTATATACATACGCGTAATGTTAGGCCCGTTAGGACAGCACAAAAATTAGATAGCCGGAATAGGCAATTGGGTCTATTAGAATAGATTAGGAAGACGACGCTTTAAGAAGTGCCTCGAAGTTTCTCCATACATAATGCCTAAGTACACGCCAAGTGTTCATTCTTCTAAGGATATCAAAGTTATTTCATAAAGATTATAAAACCAGCACAATATTCTACCTAAGATGCAATCGTATTAAAGGATAATGAAGCGAATAATTTAATTAAAAATTACAAAGTCGTTCTTAATTATATAACATATAAAATGCAGTAAGAACAGCGAGTTGTGGGCGTTCCGTGCGCGTAGTCCGTGATTTATAAACTTTATTCCGACTGCCGGGATTTATGTGCGCGAGAGATTTATACGTAGATACGGTCCGTGGGCTCGTTGCTGAACAAAAGGGACAAATTCGACTCACCCATGTACAGCGGCGACTGCCTGCTGCCGACGTTGTCGTCCACGTAGGGGATGCCCAGGGTGGCGATGCCCGTTTGGCCCACGCCGACCACGAGGAGGCAGATGAACAGCCACGGTATGACGACCGCCGTTATGGACGAGCGTGTCTCCGAGCTCTTCACTTGGGCGTCGTCGCATTTAATCAGGGAGGAGTTCTTGTCGATCGCGCACACCGGACCAGAGCCGGCCGTGTGCGAGTCCAGGTGGACCCCGAGCAGCTCAGTCCCGTAGGACATATGCGGCATCATGCAGCCGATTATGCCGACCGCCAACACCAGCATCATGCAGGCGATCCAGCGCGGCCGGTGACCGCGACCGGCGAGGTACGTCAGAAACAGCGCCGTGCATATCTGCCCTATCTCCGTCGCGGCTAAGAGCGTTCCCGTCGTCTTGGACTCCACCTTGAACAGCTTCTCGATCGTAGTGGTGACGCTCACGAAGTACGTGAGGAACATGCCCTGCAGCACCCAGCCCGAGAGGAACACCAGCATGAAGACGCGCGTTGAGTGGAAGGCGGAACGCGGCTCGGGCTCCTGCGGTGCGGGCAGCTTGCAGTCGAGCGAGCCATTGTTGTTGCCGGTTGCCAGCCTTTCCTGCTCTTCCGGTGTTGCCTCGACACCCTTCATGGCGCCCTCCTCGGCGGCCGGGCCGGTGGGGCCCGCCTGCCCTTCAGTGGATACTGGCCCCGCGACGGGTGCACTGCGAAAGAGAAACGGCACGTTTACAACACGCTCCGCGATTACTCATTACCTATATTACGCTAAGCGCACTCACGCCATCGCCGTGGGGCGCTCAGTCCGCCGATTATACACTACAACCCCTTGAGGAATGGAATCTGACCGAGCAGAAACAGTGCGCACGCGAGGCCCGATAACGGACTGTACGCCGACTGCGCTCAGCGATCGCGAAAACTATTCGGTCGGGCGCGAGCGAGTCGCGTACATCGGAGGGTCAAACCGAGATCCGGCTGCGTAGGGGGTGGTGAGGCTGCGTGCGCGCAGCCAGCCCGGCGGAGAGAGACTGCAGCGTGCAATTACCGGCGCAGCGCGGTGCACCCGCACGCCCCTCGGTTTCTCCCGACGGGGTTTTTATTGGCCGCCTATCCGTTTTTTGTGCGGCCACGCGTTCACACACGGCGAGAGCGGTCTGCGCGCCGCCCTCCTCGGAAGATTCCCTCTCGCCCCGACGCCACGGAATGCCTTTGTCTCATTGGCGACGCTTTCAAAGCTCGCCTCTATTTGCGTAGAGGATGCTATTGAAATGCAGGCGAACGCGCGAGATGTTCGGCGCTGTCGCACTTTCAAATATGGTAATGGGACCGAGTGTGATAACGCCAGCGATCATGAGATCGGGCACGTGAAAACATGCCCGCTTGATTGGCTCGGAGAAATATTGCACCTTCGTTGACGCTAATACCGTACGTAGGACGCACGCTAGGTTCGCAACAATAGCGGCCGTGGAATATTAATGAGCGCGGCCCGTATGGGTAACCGGGCTTGCGAAACTCACCAGCGGGGGCCGATGACCACCGTTGACACGGACGGTCGACGAGGCTCTGCTGCTACCGGTTTCGAAAAAGGAACTGTCGCGACGATTGGAATATGTGTAACAAACGTGCGCGCCTAATGGTCGGGGATGACTCGAGCGGACCGACACGAGTAGATAACTGGGGCGCATTCGTTCGACAACTGCATTCCGAGATAAACGCAAGTGAGTTGCCGCAGTATCGAATCCCTATCGCCGCGATAACGGGACGTGGCAAATAGCCGGGCCACTTGTGCGGCAGGTTACTGCCCGGACAACCTTAAACAGTGTGCCCTATTTATCACGAGCAGTGCACCAGTTCGCTGCGCCCAAAGGCCCGTCTACGTCGTGAACGATTAAAAATACACGAAATCACCACGGAGGCTCCGACAAAAACACAACTTTCGGAAATGGAAAATAAATATTTATGAAATAGAAAACTGCATGAGAATTATTAATACTTTATGAATATTTAAACGCCTGCTTTCTCCCGTTAAACAATATCTTCAAAAACACATAAATATAGTCGCATGCACATGTGCGGGTAATTTTCTATTGGCTCTTAATAATGATGTGTGGAGACCACAGCGGTGACCCTTGCGTTGCGTAAGGCGGTAAACTTGAGTAACATTATACTTGAGTATTGCTTACAAGGAAATCATTGTGAGTTGTGAACGACTTATACATCAGAAGATATACATAAAAAACGCCAGCGAATACATTCGAAAACGAGCGACGTATAAACGGCCAATTAGGAGTCCTTTCGAATCGGATCGGGACCTCGTACCGGTGTAATTGGCGTCAATGTTGCATGAAAGTCACAGGCGCCGCACACAGCGCGGCGACGGAAAGACATTGTGCCCACAATAACTGACGATTTACTCAATCCGCCGACGCGATTGGGTCGCACTGTACCATCTGAGCGGTGGTCCGGCTGGCCGGCCTATCGCGGGCCGTCGCGACAGAGGCACAAAAACACGATTTATTCAAACGCGGAGATGATATCGGTGCGGCAGGAAACGTGGAATTGCCCAACGCCGCGTCCTCACTTGCTTGTTTCGGTGACAATAAAAAAAAACACACACGGCCGCCCCGGACGGCGGAGAAAATCTCAACGTCGACCCACGTCAAGCCCCCGCGTGCGTGCATTTGTGCGCACACGAAAAAAAATATGCCGGCGCAACGCAAACACGTATCGCACTTGTTCAGAAAACAAAAGGACAAAAGACCGCGCTCGTGCGATTTGAAATTCATCGAACGTGAAGTGCCCATGCTACAAAAGAAAAGATACAGATGAGTTATAAATTAAGGGGATTTACAACAGTTAAACGATGGAAACCAAACAATTGAATATATTCTTAAGACTGAGTTTGAAGACGCGACAAAAAATTCCGCATAAAACTTGCCTCATGAAAGTTGAAATAAGTTAAGGAAAGATATATCAAAATATGTTATAAAATCACTTAGTTATGTAAATGTATATAGAAATAAAATGAAAATGTCTTAATCATAATGACATTTAAGATCTCAAAATAAACGTATGACTTCTTGACGGGGACAAAATAACCAACTTTTTCTTAAAACTCCGTGGTCGCAGCTTAAATTATTCCGCCCAACAGCTCACGGCTGATGCGCATTCAGAAGAAATATGTACATATTTTAGTGAGATAATTCAAATTTAACAACAACTCGAATAACAAAACAAAGTAGATGTATACGTGTGAGGATTTGTCCTCTTTTATATAAAGTACCTATATAACAAAACTAACGACGAAGAAAAAATCTAGGAAGAAACTAGGAATGGTAAAATATGAGCTGGAGGTAGAGAAACAGTCTTTAGTACTTGAACCGAGAAATTTGAAGGATTAAACTGTGGTTTCGTTTGCAATGTTAAAAATAAATAGTAGCTGAAAAAAAACTATTTCGATGTCAAGGCTGTGCCAAAAATATCCACCGTACACAAGAACTGAAACATCGGGATTCCAACAACGCGTGCTTTACACTTGATATGAACTCACTGCCCCAGAATAAATTTAAGATGAAAACAAGTCGACGCAAATAACTTTCGCGTGTTGTTTAATATTAGTTATAATGCTCTATGTGCGTTCGCTTGAACGATTTAAAAAAACTGATCCACTGAAAAGATAGAAAGTTTTAATATACAATAAGCATTGGCTTCGATCCTATGTATTGAAACTCGCAAAAAATGAGCAATAAATGTTTATTGTAATAAAGATTATACTATACATAATAGGCATTTTAAAAAGGAACTAAGGTCCGCATGGAAGTCATTATAAAATTGAATTCAGTTCTCATAATGTACAAATTTTATCTTCAATTTACAATGAAAACATTTCATTTTAAGAGAACTTCAAGGCATGACAAAAAAATAGCTCGTTATAATAAAATTGAAGACAACATTAGAGGATGTACTTCGATAAATGAAATCGTTTTGTATCTAGAGCGAGTAAAATTACAAAAGGTAAAGCTTTGAGAATTTTATTTTTCAGCATGAATATTAATTTAGAATCGGTTACAATAATACAAAAACGATCGGTCAGTATTCCAATTGACGGTATCAAATCAATGGATCACAATGCAAAGCCATCGCTACCGAAGACATCTTTGATTCTATAAGTGAGAGGACAACGCGCGCGGTCAAGGTGAGTGAGCAGGTACGACAGCATAGTCGATGACACTGCGCCCTCGAGATTAATTGCTGATTTATACGCGACTGTAGTCTGTGGCTTACTCTATTTCTAAAGTCTTACATTAACGTGATTTTTCTATCATTAACCGACTAATGCTTGCCCACCATGCCACCTTATGGAGTGATAAATGCTAAACGCACTGTCTAATCGAAAGATTATCTTGTTTAGAAGACACTAATTTATCCAGGCAGAAAGCAAGCAAGCAGATGGGCACAAAGAGATTGTTCCAATATTTTGCTGTACACATCATGGGCGTTGAAGTAAAATGACTTTGTTCGAATACCTATGGTATCGACAACAAATCAATATTTAACAACGAACACTAAAAACTCCCATTTACGAAATAAATTGAAAAACTTGTTTAAGTTGAAAATATAATAAAGCCTGTTATTGTTTTAGCAGGATAATCATAAACTGTATTTAAAATATCAGCTAGTATATAGCTAGTATTTGCAACTTATCAGGGAATCCTAATATGCAAGGAAAGTTTCCTAATATGCAGCAAATACCGCTTCCATATGAATGCATGATTAAATTTCAAATCAATTAGAACTGCACGAAATGCATGAATGTTAAGCGATCTGTCGCTTAATATCGGCATCATTAAATCCAACCACTGTCTCAATTGAGACACATGCAATGAAACACGAACACATTAACCTACGTTACAAAAAATGTAGGTGCTGCAGTCGTCTAAAATGTGATTTACTGCGCCATAAAACTCTTTTATTGATTTACATGCATTCATTTGGATCCGTAATTTTAACAGATGTAAAGACAAAAAGAGAATTTTACATGTAGATTATCATTTACTTGCAAATAAGCAAATGGTAACTTTTCTCATAATATAATCGGTTATTACTTTTGAACAAAAATTGTTACGTGCCACTTAAGAGCGATCTCGGTGATTTCCAAAGCATACTAGTGAAATTTATAGACGTCTTTATATTTCACTATGTTCTTTATTGTGTCGATGCATATATCTGCCATGATTTGTGGAAACACCACAGAGGATATTTTTAAATAACGATTTTAATAAATGCCACTTAGACCGACAACGATTATAAATTAATTAAGCCGATATTTAAGATTATAAAACAATTGACACAGATTATTAAGGTATAACTAATACAAATCAGCACGTTCTTACCCACGACTGCGTGATTAGAGGTGAATTTGCAAATCAAATCTCTCATTAATACGTGGGTAAATTATCAAAGGCGGCCGAATGTCGTTGCGATAAGTGATTTATCTAAATTGATAAATACGAGAGTAATTGCTCAACGAAAATACACGAGTGTCTCTATTTGAATGCCCTGTGATAGAGATAAGCAGAAAACATTGCCCGCACTCTATCATAACATCGCATCGATACGTCCTAACCGTGTTTGCCTTTAATTTGTATGGTAATTCAGAATTACCTCGATACCATTTAAATGATGTCCTTTATGCCTTGACCTTTTATAAAAGACATATTTGTCAAAGCATTTTCGTTGCACAATAATAGTAAGTAAAGCCAAATTTTTGGGTCCCTTTTTTAGAATATTGCGCGCAAGAAGGAATGTGACATTTGGAATTGATAGACTTTAAATGGAGAAAAATAGCAGTTATGTACAATATAAAAACATTTCCATAAAGTAACAGCCTATACATGTCCCACTGCTGGGCAAAGGCCTCCTCTATATAGAGGGTATCAGGGCATAGTCCACCACGCGGCCCCACTGCGGATTGGCGGACTTCACATACCTTCGAAATATTTTTTTTTTGTTATTATTTCGAAAACTATGCAGGTTTCCTCACGATGTTTTCCTTCACCGCGGAGCACGTGATAAGACAGCACTTAAAGTTAAAAACTTCATTGGTGCCGGCACCGGGATCGAACTCAGGTTGCTCGAGTATATTGAATTAAAGGCAAGCGCCCGGACACTGAGCTATCAGGGCTCAAAAAAAAAAAAAAAAAAAAAAAACATTTCCATAAAATCTGTATTTAATAAAATATGTATATATAAAATATATTAATGAATCTGAGGAAAATAGCAATTCATTAAATGGGAATGAAAAATAATTTATAATTAAATTTAACAGTTATATAAAAAGTATTAAACACAAAATTAAAATAAAACATGACAAGACTCGGTTCCATATGCATGTCCGTAGTGAAAAAGGGCAAAATAAATGACACTTTAAATTGAAATTAAAAACTGACAAGGGCAAATTATCAATTAATCAATAAAGGATTTAAAAGAAATACTTGAGGCCAAGAAAAAGACAGCCATGTAGCAAATCTTCCACGAAGGCTTGTAAACCCAATGCCGAGACACCCCGTGGAGCCTCACCGATGATGGCAGATACATAGTCAGGCCCACCATAAATGTGGTTTAAGAAATCCTTTCCCAACGCCAATACTCCTTGGCGTATATCCAAGATCTACCAAGGGGAATC